CAAATGACACCATCAGTAAAGTGAAAAGACAACTCACCGGCTGAAGAAAATATCTGGAAATTATAATCTGATAAGAAACATGTATTCAGAATACATAAAGAATGTTTATAACTGTATAATGAACAAATAACCCGAATACAAAATGGGCAAAAATTTGAACAGACATTTCTCCAAAGAAGATATGCAAATGACCAATAAGGACATGAAAAGATTAGTCATTAGGGAAAAGAAAGTCAAAACCACATAAGATACCACAAAACAAACCAGAATGGCTATCATGAAAAGACAGGCCAAAAATGAATATTGGGGAGAATGTGGAGAAACTGAAACCCTCACATATTTCAGGTGAGAATGTAAACGGTGCAGCCACTCTGAAAAGCAGTTTGACAAATCTTAAAAGTGTTAAACGTAGAGTTACTATATGATCCAACAATTCCACACTCAAGAGAAATAAAAACACATAGCCACAAAAAGTTCATAGCAGCATTATGCATGATAGCCAAAAGGTGGATACAACGCAAACGTCCATCAACTGATAAATGGATAACGTATAATATATCCACAGAATGAAATATTATTAGGCCATAAAAAGGAAATCATGCTACAATATGGTGTACCCAGAAAACTAATGAAGGAAGCCAGACACAAAGGCCACATTTTGTATAATTCCATTTATATGAAATACCTAGAATTTATATGAAATATCAAGAATATGCAAATTTATAGAGAAAGAAAGTAGATTTGTGGTTGCCTAGGGATGCAAGGAGGGGAGGAAGAAAGACAGGGAGTGACTGCTAAAGGGTACAAGGTTTCTTTGGGGGTAATAAAAATGTTTTAAAATTAGATTATGTTGATAGTTGCACAGCAGTAGAAATATACTAAAAACCATTGAATAATACAATTTAAACTGGTGAACTTTATGATATGCAAATTACATACCAATAAAGCTATTTAAAAAATATAAAAGGAAGATCCCTTAATATCACTTACATTGACATGTGTAATCATGTGATTCTTCAATTCAAAATATCACACATGCACTTTTATCAGGCCCAGTATATGAAGCATTGAATACAATATATTTAGCCCTTTGGTGTGTGTTTTTCTTTGAAATTATTTTCATCCAGAAATTCTAACTTAATAATAACATCATTTTTTAAACTGAATTTTCTACCAGATGATCTGAACTGTTTTTAATTCTCATTTTATACACAAACAAACATCTTTTTGTGCTTGGAAGTAAATGTGCACAGATGCATTTCTGAAGGAACTAAAGAGGAATAAAAGAAGAAATCAGAATTTTCTCTCATACAAGACTGAACATAGAACAACCTGTCAAGTAGTCAATGATAACCAAAGAGATGAACCAGACCCCTGATGTTCTTGCCTGTTCAGTATTTGGCAAATTCTACTTACTTTACTGCTTATCACAACATCCATTTTCCTATAAATTCCAAGTTTTTCCTACATTAACTTGCCAACATACAGATGCTAAATTATTCTGCTGTTCTCACAATGTTCATGAGCTCTAACCCGAACTGCTACATTCACACTGTCCTTCCAGCGATGTCTGTAAACAATACCTAATCTTAAGTAGAAAAATGAAGACTATGTTATTACACAGTTAATGCAGGCGTCCTGCAGAGAGACAAGACATCTGTGTAGCAAAATGACTGTGGCGAACTTGATGGGACTACAGGTATCCCTTGCAGTATGAAAGCAATTATGAAACTTCACGAATACACTGATTATTAAGAACACAAACCAACACAGGAAAATCTCACCTTCAGACTTAGAGTCCTATCACCTGCACATCAACACTCATTTTATCTCTAGTATGTTCTCCTATTCTAATAGATTCAGGAAAGAGGGGACACCTGTAAAATGTCTAACTCCTGAAATTGGAAACCAGAACTCAAAACTGCATCAAACAAAAGAGAAATATTTAAACCAAAGTAATTTATCAATGTTTTAAGTATATGGTGGATTACTACTAAGAAGGCAGCAGACACCTTAGAAACAGATCCTGCAGCCCCAGCCAATGTTGTGATCACAGCCTCATAAGAGATCCTCAGCCAAAACCTAAGAGCTAAGTAACCCTTTAATTTTCAAATCATTAGATAATAAGTGTTTGTTGTATTACGAGACTTTTTTTTTTAAGCAGCAACTCACCATTCTTTATCCTCACTGAGTTTTACATAAAAATGTATGGGTTTAAATCACAGCTGAATGAATTTACGCTATTATCACATGAAAAATTTCCTAACCAGAGAAATGTTTAGTAAAGAAATACAAGAGGAATTTTAAAGCTACTCTTTCCTGAGGTTGACAAAGACAAGTAATGTAGTTATCTTTTCAGGAGTGGGTCAACTGCAGATCTAAGCTAGGGAATGTGAGGTTAAGTCTGTAAATCCCACTAATTAGTCCCATCAACATTTTTATATGAGGATGAGACTAGAGCCTAAGGATGACAATGTGTTGTGAGGTGGGAGTGAAGCAGCTGGCTTTCCAGCAAAAATCAATGCTGGTGCAACCCTGGCTTCATGCAGTAGAATGGAATCAGGATCTAAAGACACACCATGCAATCATTACAATGAGTTAGGTAATGACCAGTATTATTTCTGGCACCATCACTCCATGAACTACCAGACCAAGGGGAAATGATAGATAACTATCATAAAACACTGGAAACTATTCAGTAGCTGGGCCTCAAAGTAGCCATTCACGTGTAGAAGGATGAAACTAGATCGTACCTCTCGCCATATAGCAAAAGCAACTCAAAATGGATTAAAGACTTAAATATAAGATCTGCAAGTATAAAACTCCTAAAAGAAAACATAGGGGAAACACTTCAGGAATAAGACCCCAAAAGCACAGGCAACAAAGAAAAAATAAACAAATGGGAATATATCAAACAAAAAATCTTCTGCATAGCAAAGGAAACAGTCAACAGAGTGAAAAGACAACCTACAGAATGGGAGAAAATATTTGCAAACTATTCATCTAACAAGGAATTAGTACCCCGAATATACAAGGAACTCAAACAACTTCACAGTGAAGAAACAAGTAACCCAATTAAAAAATGGCAAAAGAGCTGAATACATGAAAATATGCTCAACATCACTAAGCATCAGGCAAATGCAAATCAAAACCACATTGAGGTATCATCTCACCCCAGTTAGACTGGCCATTATCAAAAAGACAGGGAATAACTAATGCTGGCGAGGATGCAGAGAAAGGGGAACCCTCCTACACTGTTGGTGGGAGTATAAATTAGCACAGCCATTATGGAAACAGTACAGAAGTTTCTCAAACAACTACAGAGAGAACTGCCACACAATCCAGCAATCCCACTGCTTGGTGTATACCCAAAGGAATGGAAATCAGCATGTCGGAGGGATACCTGCACACCCATGTTTACCGCAGCTCTATTTACAATAGTCAAGAGTTGGAACCAACCTAATGTCCATCGACAGATGACCAGACAAGGAAAATGTGGTATATCTACACAATGGAATACTATCCTGCTACAAAAAAAGAATGAAATTCTGCCATTTGCAGCAGCATGGACAAACCTGGAGAAAATTATGTTAAGTGAAATAAGCCAGGCACAGAAAGAGAAATATGGCATGTCCTCACTCATAAGTGGGAGCTAAAAGTCAAACAGATAAAAAAGGAAGAAAGATAGAACAATCACAGTAATTAAATAAAAAAAGGAAGAAAGATAAAACAATCACAGTAATATGCTGAACTTTCAAAAGGAAGAGAACAGAACTGTGGTTACTAGAAATGGGAAAGGGGAGGGGGAGGTAGCAAGAAATTGGTAAAGGGTCACAAGGAATGACTATGTTTTGTGACAATGATAATTACATTGTTTTGATCATCACATACTGTACATAGGAACTGATATTCAACTCTGTATCCCACAAATATGTATAATAAATTATTTCAATTTCAAATATGTATAATCAATTATGTTTCAATTAAAAAATAATAATAATAAGCACAGACTAGCTCCTTCTCACTGGCTCTAAACAGAATATGAGATAATATTCAGAGTTCCACTGTGGTAATAGTGTTCTGTTATAAAAATGATTTTTAAAATATCTCTGGTTAGTAAAAACAGGAAAAAAATGACATTGCATGAACAGAAAGATTCTTTAATTTGAGAATTTACCATATCTATAAACAAAAAGATGTCAGTGTATATAGTTTTCTCTCTCTTGTTTTGTAAACAGCACTGAGACAACATAATGTGTCAGTAACATGTTAATAAAGAATAGTCACAACTGTTCTAAAAGTTTATGAAAGCCTGCAAGAGCTTTTCTACAAGGGGAAGTAAAATCACCAGTTTAATTGCTCTTTTGTTATTTTTTAAACGCCGCCTCTTTTTCGTGGAAGGGAGGACACTTGGAAGCTGTGGAAGGTAGTCTGAGCAGCATCTCTCCTTCCTCCATCTACTTCAAAAGAACACAGCGAGGGACACGGAGGCCACACCTCCCCCAACAGGTGATGGTCTGAGATTTCACTACATCCTTCTCTATCGAAATTTCTCCTAACAAATAGTCAGACATTAAAAATATTAAGAATAAATTAGAGAGCAAAAGAAACCCTTGAAGGCCACATGTCATGGGAGACACAGCACACTTACCTTCTTCCCTCCGGTCACAAACTGCTTGCAACTGGATCTCACGAAGCATGGGTGCACAGCAACGATCTACAAGAGAAAAAGGACCAACGCTGGTTTAGGAGTGATGGTAAAGCACAAAATGGAACTCTTTACACATTACAAGCAGCATGACCCAAAAGTTATCCTGATACCTGGGTAAGAAGTAACGTATTCAGGTAATTTTCTGCAACAACTGAGGGCATCTCGGTCTTCTGCTTGTGTGAAAAGATTTCTTCTCTGAAGCCAGGTCAAGGCTCAAAGGCCAGAATAAATTAGTTCTAGTTTCAGGCTGAGTGACAACCCCTCAGTGTGGATGCCCCGTCTGTAGAGGCAGCAAGGGAAGACAACCGAGGCTGCAGGATGCCCCAACTGTGGGTAACTGGACACACTCAGAGAGCAAAGAACTGCCCATCTTCTTGTCCAGCGTGCCTCCAATGGTGGCTGGCACCGAGTGCAACCAGGAGGCAGTGTGGCCCCACAGACACATGGCAGTCATGCCGAGACCCCATCAGTGGGTCAGACAACAGAGCCGCAGGCCCCAAGAGCTGCAGAGTGAACCATGCAGGACATTACCATTTACCCACAACCTGCGTGCCATCCCCGGATCCTCATCCACTTTCCACACAGCCCATCTCCCTGGACCCCTGCAACACAGGTTCTCCCAAGGCTGCTCCACCCCTCCTGACTGCTCACTTCACCTGCCAGTGGCTGGGGCAGGTACTGAAGGCAAGCGTGAAGCTCCAGCGTGCTCAGCTGTCGTGGCTGTAA